GGGGGGTTCAGTGTCTTGCCCAAGGACATTTTGACATGTGGACTGCAAGCATTGAGATTTGGACCTTCAACCTTCCGGTTGTGAGACGACTGCTCTACCCACCACACCACTGTCACCTCCCCCACCCCTTAATTCAGGCTTCCATCACTGCAGAGACATATAAAATGCTCCTGCCAAACAGAGGTGTGAAGTCAGGATTTGCATCATGATTTATGACCTTTTCACTCTGGCCACCTTTCGCACCCTACATGCTGTCAGGTCCGCTTGGCAGTACCTGCCTCTCTTCCCCTTTCTCTCTCCCGCTCTCTCTCATCCTGCAGGCTCAGTGACACAGCTGATCTGCATCACCTGATTATCCACTCTGGGTGTAGCGCACAGCTGAGGCTCATCCCCAATAATCAACCTTCCCTACATAAAGTGCTGGCAGACGCTCCTTTGTCACCAGATCATTGATGTTTGGGATTGAGGTCTTGTTCGATGCGGCCACACATGGATTCTGTTACGCTATGCTTCATTCCAGCCCCGTGGGAACTCCTTGGACCTGTATTGTGCCTATATGATTTCTGCTACGTCCTGCTGCATTCACCTACCAGCCCACTGTGGATCGCACACTTCTCCTCTATGCTGCTGTGTCGTCAATCCACTCACCTGTCCATCCTGGTCCTCTGATCCTCCTGGTTCCTGCCTGCTTACCTGCCCATCCTCGTCCTTTCAGCCTCCACTGCTCAACCCTGGTTTGGACCACATTAACCCTATTGACTGTTTTCCTTCAACCACTTGTTTTTTGTAATAACGACTCTTTTGTTTTCCAACTAGCACTGAGTTTGCACTCTGAGTCCTCTTTCTCTCTGTCTCACCTCCTGGTGAGAGACACCAACCCTAACACATGCACTTGGATCAAAGGGCTGACTAGTGACTACATATAGTACTTCAAATGATTTTGCATATCACTCTTACTTTTCTACAACAAAATATTTTATTATAGATTTTATAACAGATAGTATAAAAATGCAGTTTTTTCATTTCTCCATGGGTACACCATGTATTTATTTATTTCTGTTGGCTAAAGTAGGTAATTTAAGGTTTTCAATTCAAAACCTTTGGCATATCTATGTGTTTACATGTCATGTACATCCTGATTACAGACAATGGTCACCCCACAGACCCACCTCCTCCCCCTATTTAACAAAAAAAACTTACCGGCACATCCTTCAGAGTAGGGAGATTAAATCCGATATAAAGTGAGGGCCCAACAAAAGCAGGCTTCTCAGCGTCTCCCCCGAGCTTCTTTCGCCATACAAGTGGCAGGGTGAATCATGTTCCACGAGGAATAAAAAAACTAATTATTGCCTTAGGGAAGAACAAGGGGTTGCTTAGCTGCTTCAGCCACTGGATGTCTTGACTGTGTGTATGGCTTTATGAAATCTGAAAACCACCAATGAATTCTGGGGCCCAATGTAGGGCCCAGTGTCAGAAAGCTGGGTCTCTGTCAGAGGTCATGGGTCTTACAGCAGGACAATGACCCAGAGCAGACTTCAGAGAGCACTAGAAATGGTTTCATACAATGAGCTGGAGAGTTCTGAAGTAGTCAGCAATGAGTCCAGGTCTAAATCCCATAGAGCAGCTGTGGAGAGATCTCAGAACAGCAGCTGGAAGAAGGAACCCTTCAAACCTGAGAGACCTGGAGCAGCTGGCAAAAGAAGAGTGGTCCAAAATTCCAGTAGAGAGGTGGAAGAAACTCAATGATGGTTACAGGAAGTGACAGATTTCAGTTACTTTGTCCAGAGGATGTGCTACCAAATATTAAGTTGAGTGTGTCATTAACTCCCTCTCAGTCTATGTTTGGAGTTTTGTGTGGAATGGATCAGATTTGGCTTTTTTGTGTTCCAATGCAAACAAAAGAAATAAACATGAGGATACCAAAGAATTTGTGATTTGTGAACAATTTTCTGGGAGGAGTGGTGTGTTATCTGACAGAAATGCAGAGGTGCCAATACTTTTTAGCCATAACTGTAATTGCTGCTGGTTACAGGACCAGAGACTTTTTTCCACACACAAAAGCTGGTTAGCAGACTACTGAGTGAATATTTATGTGCAATGTTTCTGCAATAAATAGTTCTGCCATTGATGCATTCCTCCCTCTATTAACATATTCCGTCTCTCCTCCACAATGTGCCCGATAATGCCTGGCTGCGCCTGTGGTCACCAAAATTTTTGAACATGCCCATATGTGCCTTGTTTCTGGAATTTAGACACAATAAGCTTAGCACTGTGCCCTGTTTCAGGAAAATATAGCACTCTGACTTTCAATAAAACAAGACATTTCACGGAAGATCAAAAGTATGACATACCTTGTCAAATGTAAAGAGTGGTGTTGAATTCATGAATCCAAAACTTCCTCCATGATAAAAAGGACAAGAAGTAAAACTGAATGCTTTATAAATGCCGGCCTGTGTTGGGTGTGCACAAGCAGAGTACAGAGCACACATAAAGTCCATGCTTCAGCTAACATATCTAAAGCATGTGTAAAATTAGGTGATTTTCATAATGTTTTGATATTAAGCTGAAATCACTAGATGCCTGAAATTTAATGCGTTCAATTTGCAAAACCATGATTTGTGGAAAGCAGCCCAGCAAAGCTGTAATGTATGACCCCATGCTGACAATTGGTCTGCTCTGAATGTAGCTGGGCAGAGTATCTTTGCAGACATCAGAACTTTATGAAGGGGAAAGAGCCACAAGCTGCCCCAGGAAGCACCAGCATCTGCAGCCTGGTCTGCTCCTCCTCTGCGCCTCCCTCTGCAGCCCTCACAAACACAAATGAACTTTAACCTCTGTGTATATGTGAAGACGTAGACCCAGGTAGGCAACTCTGAATTCCAGGCATCTCTCTACTGGCAGAGGGCTGGGGCTCAGTCAATTGTACAGCCAGTGTGAGTGCAAATCACTCTGTTGTCCTAACTTACTGTGGACAGACACAGCTTCTAATTTGACCCTGGACAGAATTATCCTCACAGCCTGGTCACCCTGAGCAGAGAAATCACATTTATGATCTAAACTAAACAGTGGGCTGCTGATATGAAGTGTGGGAACTACAGTATGTGATACCAGCTCAGCCAGCATGATTTGGAACAGTTACAGAAAAACAAACACATTTAAATTTCCAGAAGCCCAAATTAAATGTCAAATAATCAAACCAAATAAAGGCTTGGTCTCAAACAGCACAATCAAATAAAAACTGGTCACTGCTAAGACCTGATATAAAACACTTGAATGTGTGTGTATGTTGGGGGGGTTAAATTCTCTGAATTCAGTACAGTGTACATTTCCTCCACAAACCTTGGCATGGCCTCAAGGTAACAACAGCCACCATTATCCACACAACCTGGACTACTATTACACTTATCAGATCCAACCAGCAGACTGTAATCTGATGCTGATAGGCTAACATTTCACTCTGCCTGTGACCTGGGAAAGGATACAGCGTCAGCACTCAGCTTTTACATCACTGTTTCATGGTGGATCACCGTGTTCTTAATGCTTGTTCCCTTAATCCTACCGTTAACCTTAAAACGTGCTTAGCCAATAAAGCTGAGGCTACAGTAGCGCATATCAGCAAAAAAAAATGTGCACATATGCTTGTACACCTTACATCTGACAGGACTATACAACCCTATACTTCACTCTCACCCATGCCTAATGCCCTGATGTCCTGATATTTCGTTTCACAAGACATGACCCTAAATAATTTAACTGAGTTGAAATATATTGTCAGCTAATAAAATACTTAAAAAAGCATGATTGTCTGACAAAGTGGCATCTGGACTCATGATGATGAATTGATGATAACAGCCAATAACACTGGAACAGTAACAAAAAATGTGCCACTTTACACATCACTAAGCCAGGTAAGGTGATCCTGGTGTGGGAGTATTCATTCTGAGGACACCCAGGGTGTTTATTTTATTTTATTTAACTGTAAATCCATGGGTTTAAAGTCCAACTAATTAAAACTCGACTTACACTGAGAGCAGGAATTTTCTCCAGAATGTTTTCACTTTTTTCAGCCTTTTTCTTTTTTTTTTTTTTTTTTTTTTGCCAACCTCAGTAATTTACACATATAGTACCAGATGTGTACATCTGATACATATTACAGTTTTTAGAACAATAGATATTACCACTTTGTTACACAAGACTCCTCACTTTCAAATTTTAAAAATAGGCTTAGAGTTTACTGGCTACTTAGAATATCTGTATCTTGAAGTGTTTCTGTTGTTGCTGCTGTTTTTTAAGATGATTTCTTTTTGAGGTGATCTGGTAGAAATGTTTGGATATGCTTGAAAAAAAAACATATTTGATGAGCTAGTCTGCTTAAAATTATGTATCTTGTGGTTTCTCACTGAAATGATTTGTGATTTTTGGGTATGCTTGACGCATGACATGACAATATGTCATGTCTTTTTGTGTGTAGACGTAAGTGCAATGTGTTTTTACTGTGCAACTAAACTAAACCTTTGTCATTGCTGAATGCAATGGGTAAAATTTCAGTCTTATTCATAATTAAATGTACATTACAATAAAGTGCAAAACGTGAAGGGATCTGAACACTGCATAAAGTGGATGCATGTAGGCTATACTGTTATGAGAAAAGCACTCTAAACTCATTTCTGGGTCTGGGTATATACGATTATTTAAAAAAGCAAATGATCCTATGAAACATTCTATCGAAGCAACATTAAATTATATTGGATTTCACTTTAAACTTGTCAAATTCTCTGAGTGTCCCAGCGAAAGGAACACGAAGCATGTTAGTGTTAATCAGCAGCAGAGAGCGTTGCATGAGTTCAGACACCGAAAGTAATTATTCTCGGTGCGGGACGTGAGCAGGCTGACAGCCACAGGATGAGGATTCAGTGTCTGTCTGTGAAACTACTGATGCAGTAACAGGTACGTGAAGTAAGAGGACAGTGGTACACAGAGCAGAACATGAGTGGACTTACGAGGTTCCAAAACTCAGAGGCTGCTCTGTGATCCATCTCCGTCTCGCTGAGGACGGCATCTTCGTGAAACCCCTGATAGCTCCCAGCTCCCGTTCCAACCTTCTCCCCGACTTCCAATGTGTTGTGTGTGCCTCTCTCTCTCTCTCTCTCTCGGTGTGTGTCTAGCTCTCTCGACCTCTCCTGATGAACCTGGCTTTGCAGCTCTGAGCTCCACAGTCAAGCGCCCAAGTACAGTACATGGGAAAGTTGAGGAACGCTCAACTTTATGCAAATATCCTCTGACATAGTGCGAGTCACAGCCAGGCCAGAGCCAATCATCACCATCTGGATTCCAGCAGAATCTGTTCTGAATGAGTGAATCATGGCGCCGCGACTGTTGTTGTTGTTTTTCTCTTATAGCTCGAAATGTGTATATATGTATCTAACTATTCTATTTTCTGTTATCCATTCTCTCTTGCCTAAAACACAATGAGAGCCTCTATTCTAGTATGCTCAACATACTTGGCGATTAAAGCAGATTCTGATTCTGATTCTGATTCAATTTAATTTGGTCTGTATCACTACTGGGTGGCGCAGTGGTTAGCATCTTAATTTGGAAAAGACTTCCTGTTTGTCACTGTCTCACTCTCTCCAGCCTTACCAGAACCAATCAGTGGCTGTTTGGGTTCATTTGTGTCTCATTTACCAGTATATTTAACCCACCTCCTCTTCAATGCCAGAAACCCAACTTGTCTTTCTGTACTTTCCAGTTTTCATCCAAAGCCTGTTACCTGTTGCCTGGCCTGTGTCTTAGTGGAGATAGGATGTCTAGTTAGACTGTTAAATGCTTAGTCATGCTTATGAGTTTCTACAGGGTACATCTGGTCAAGGATAACTAGAGAGAAAAGTTGATGACTGTCAGCAGACAGGGTGTTTAATATTATTATTATGACATGTATAACTGTAGCCTTAGCCATAATATGTTCTTATGTTTAATATCACGACATGTTACTAGAGGTCGTGTGAGAATGTTTTTAGCTACACACCACTTAATCAACAGACACACACACATTGATTTGCTTCATGTTTTGACTACTGCTAGGGCCAGCTGCAAAGCTGGCAACAGAGACATCTCGGTTGACGTTTCTGTGTAGTATGGGGCTAGCCCAACCGAAGGGATATAATGTATAGGCCTGGTGGGTTCAGGGGCTTTCATCTTACATCTGCCTGCGAGCATTTTGGAGGTGCAAGATACCTGAGCGTGTAATGTTAATTTTACCTGTGATCTTTTGACTAAATCAGCACTGTTTTGAAGTTGCTTGGACTGCCTCGTCTCTCAGAGTTAGCAATGGTAAGAAGAACCAAAGACCAACAGTAGCTTGCAAGGTGAAAAAGTGTGAGCACCCCTGGTCTATAAGTTTGCTGCCTGTCTGATTTTTGACTTGGGATTGCTCCAGAAACTGAGAGCCTGCCTGCCATCTGTCTGTACCTCTGCCTGGTTTCACCCTGTTATATTTTTGTCTGAGCTCAGGTGTTATGTTTGTTGGCCAGCTGAAGAGGAGTTATATTGTTTTTGTTAATGGTACCTGTGCCTATACTTGTTAATTTTTTTCTCTCCTGTCGTTAGATTTCTTTGCCTGGATTTCCAGCTGCCTTTATTTGTTACCTCCTCCTGTCAGCCTCTGGGAGTCCTCATTAGCCCACACCTGTTATGTGAGCTTTACCTGTTATTTTATCTCTTCTCCAGTGTTTAGTAGGAGTCCTACTGTCTGGCTGTCTCAGTACTCTGGGTGCTGTCATTTTCTGAAGCCACCATCATTTCACATTGCTGCTACCTGTGAAGACAAAACCCGCTCTCAGCTGCAACATCTACCTTCCTTTCCACTTAAATGCAGTGGGCATTGTTCCTGGTCTGCCTCTTCCTCAGTTGACGAGTGTATGGTTTTCTCTGTCCGTATCAACTTCCGGATCAGCTTATCACTACACCGCTGCTGCCGATATCCTCCACTAGGTCGCTGCCCTGGACCTGCACCACAGTTAAGAGACACCAATGACTGAAACCAAACCTACTGTTGCTGCCCTCCCTTGCTACAGGTGTTATACCCAGAGCCTCACTCTGTTTTCTGTAATCAGGAAGGCATACTTTCTTTTTCAGGTTTACTCCCGGTGCATGGATTAAAGCCACAGGTCCATATTTGGAAGCCCCTGCTCAGCCCTAACCCTTTACCAATTATTTCTGAACAAAATCCATCCTCACCCGGCCTGTTAATCTTTGATCTGTGACCCATACTATAATTTAAATAGACTTAAAGATACACAGTCACCCTAAAGTGATTCAGTTGTTGTTCTGATAGTCACGACTCCAGAATAACAATTTATAATGGTGCCACCAGGTCTCTCAGATGGTGCACCACTTCCGTTTTATAATGTAATGAATATTTTCTGAAATTACTTTAAATACCTTTACCATCCTATGTGCATAGCCTGTATTTACAATGAAAATCAAAGAGAGGGAAACTTATGGAAAACAACTGTGGAAAATCACTTCTGAAACAAGTTTCACTGTAGTGCTCTATAGCCTAGCAGTCAGCATGATACTGATGATGACGATTAGGCTGTTATATTTCAGTTGAAGTATAAACCGGTGAATTGTACACATGCTGTTTGTGTATGTTATGTATTTGTAGCCAATTTTTCTTTTGAAGAATTTCTGCTCTGGTGATGTCTGTGTTGGACTTCATGTACAACTCAGTTCTCTCACTCATCTCCTTGTTTCTGGGCTAAAGTTCTTAGTAGCCTACTACTTAAAGAAGTACTTGACGGTGGGTTTCAGGCACTACTAACTTCAAAGTGGGAGTTCACTAGAAGTGAGCTATGCATATGCACGATGGAAATGTTTGATCTATTCAGTCCACATTGACTTCTACCTCCATGCAGCATCATCAAAAATGTACTGGAATGTACAGGCTCATCAGCAGTGTTTAGATGTTTTGATTTAATAACTGCCCTGTCTTGTTGGGGGAACGTAAAACAAATCTGGGCCACACTAGAAGTGTCAGGTTTGCTTGGCTACACCTGCCTTTTCTCACTTTTTCTGTCTTAGCTCACTCCACCTCACACACCTGCCACCTGTTTCCTTAATTATCACTAGCTGCATTCACTCAGTCCCCCACCTTATTTATACCCTGCTCACTTTTCACTCCCTGCCAGTTCGTTCATGTTCTCGGGCTGTCTCTTTGTCTCCCTTTATGATTAGTCTTCGTTTTGGTATTTTTGTGTGTTTCCAGTTCCCCTGTTGTGTATGCCCAGGATTACCGTGAGTTTCATCTCCTCTAGGCAGTTCCAATTTTTTTCCCCCTCTTGGACTGTTTTTCCTCCGGATCTTGGCTCACCTTTACCCTCCCAGACAGTCACCAGTTGTCTGCCATACCAACTCCTCTCTGTTTGTGTTTTGCCAGTAGCTACCATCACCCACCAACCAGCCCAGGAGTGACCCCGCGACGCAGCTCAGCCCACCTCATTCAACTCATCATCCCTCTACTCCTGCTGCTGGTCGACACTTCGGTTACTCAGTTCCATTATCATCCACTTATTTGTTGTTATCACTACTGCACTGTGTTATAATAAATCATTGCTTGAACTGAAGTAGGCTACCTGGGTCCACCTCTCTTTTCCACTCACTCACTTCCATGTGCAAGCGTATCTTAACAAGAAGTCTAATTTCTCAGAAGAGATTCAAGTAAAATGTTTCTAACACAAAGAGTCTAACAGGTGACCTACCTGATGAGGTGAATATGCTTCAATTGCACCATAGGTGGAGCTTGACATTTGCACTGGGGTCACATTTTTAACTGACATCAGTACATAGTCCAACTATTGCAGGCATGGTGTCTTATGCATAATATACCGCAGGCCTACATACAGTAACCGAAGATAATAGTGCCAAGCTTGTGATAAAGCCAAACACAGCTCTTCAAATCAGTTTCTGACCACTTAGTACTGCATCCCTCATAGGGTTATGTATAGGGTGTTTGTTACACATGAGTGCTTACAACTGAAATGCACTGAGAACAGGGACAGTAAAGTCTGGTAAAAGGGCTTTTATAATCTGCTGTCTGTGACTCCCTTGTCCTGCTATAAGCAGGGGAGTAAAGACTCAAGGTTGAACAGTGTTGGTGGGGGGGCTTTTGGCCCACAAAAACCTTCTTTGTCTCCATGAACAGAGAGGTAAAATGAGCCTGCACCAGTCACCCTCACAGGGGTGAACATATTATAAGTCCCCCCCTTCTACCCAAGTAAGATACTCAGTGACAACTGCCACTGTTCAGAAATATTTTCTCCACTGTAAATTCTATATTCAAATCTTTAAAAAAAAATTATAAATAATGAATACATACCTGATAACTAGATTAAATGCACTTTTCTTTATATGCAGTGACTTCAGAGGGTGTTTATTAAAACAAAATAAACACATTAATACATGAATACACATTTTTCGTTCACACTATTTACCCACAGTGAGTACAGGTACTATTCTGTATAATTTAAAACATAATTTTCAGTTACTTTATGAGGATCTGTATGAATCATTTCATTCACATCCTAATGTTTAATTCAATGGTGAGACTCCTGAACACTGTATATTTTGATTAGGCATTATCTTACTTAAAACATATTCATTTTATCACAAAAATGGGGATCTGTGCTTGTTGGTGCAGTGTTCACCCATTTCAATCTCTAAGTGGGACCTGGATGCAAACAAATATGGGGTGTTATGACCAAGATTGCATTATTTCACCCTCTGGCTGGAAGTTGGGTTAGGGTAACTCTAACCTTCATTGTAATCCTAAATATTAGGCTTGGCATCCTAATTATGTCATGATTCCGTTTCCTCTGCTTCTAGTACCATGCTTTTATTCTGACACCACTTCCAGTTATAGTCTCACCTCAGCTACAGACTCTTTCTTTACACTAATCAGTGACAATTGTTTGCACCTGTTTACACCTCTTTATAACTTCCTCCCACCAGTAAGCTGCCAGATTGTTCTAACCCATGTTCAGACTTTCCAGTGTTTCTTCTTGTCCCTGTTATTCCAGCTCTGACCATGAATTACCTTGTGAGCATTGAGTACTGCCTAACCCTTCTGATTCTGTCTACATTCTGTGCATTGACTTATGGAATTCCTT